TTTATCTAATGATATAGGTGGACTTGCGTGACGAGAAGTGTCATATAACATCAATCATCTACAGAAACATATATTTTTTTATTATATTATTTATAATAAAGTTTCATATAGTTAATTATATCAATGAATTTATTAATTTTTTAAATTTTATAAAAAGTAGAATCAAAAGTGTTACTTTAAAATAAATTTATTAAAAAATAACTTCTATATTAATATTTAAATATTATATAAAAAATTATAGTTTAAAATTTGGTTAAAAAAATCAAAATTTAAACTATTCTCCTTCTTTAACTATGACATCATTTAAAAATATTTCTAAATCCGTCCTTACAAGATTCGTTACTGTTTAATGCCATTGGAAAATCCATTTTAAGCAAGAGTCCCAAGTTCCTAGTCGAGAACCCACCGCAGACCAAGGAACACTGATTACGTACAGGAAAACTAAATTGTTGGCCTTTATGGCTTTCCACAATAGTTTAAAACTTCACCAATCATTGATGTACCAAACCAGCTTTACCTCTTCATATAAATTATTATCTATATCTTCACCAACTTAGGTCTCTTTTTTAATAATTATATTTTTTTAATCTCTTATAATATGATTATATGTCTTATCACGCCAAGCAAAAATAAAATATTTGACTCTCGAAATTTTAAGTTTCTAATATATGTGAGGAAATCATTTGAGTGATTAAAAAGAAGTCAGAAATTAAAATTTCCTCATAAATGTTCTAACTTCTAGTAAAAATATTTAATGAGAATTTTTACATTCTCGCTTTACCCTTTAATGATACATGTAGGGTTTAATTGTTTTATTTGATTTCCATTTGATTTATTTTCAACAATAGAAGTAAATTTTTGTTCTATTTTCAATTGACAAAATTGGTTTTTTATTATATTTTGTTCTTCAATTAAAAAATTTATGATTTGATTTGGTAAAGCCTGCGTCTTTTGTTCTATGTATTTATTAAAAAATAAAAAATATTATCTTAACTTCCATTTATACTATTTTTTTTTCAAAATAATTTTATTTAAGCAACATTTTTTTTATAAAATAGTTTCAATCGAGTCAAACAGACAAAGTAATATTCAAAAGTAATTTTTAAAAGTCCGAGAAGGTTGCTAATGTGAAATGACTGTGAAATGATCTGAAAAATAGTTAAACGATGTTCTCCAATGTGATAAATAATTATTTTCAAAGGAATTGAATATCCGATGGGCTTACCCTTTTAATTCAACAACTGTAAAACCTAGTTCTTGTTGATTTAATGATGTTCTGCAAAGTCATAAATAATTGTTTTCAAAGGGCACTGATTATCAGATCGGCTTACCTCTAATTCAACTACCATAAGGCAATATATTTACTTGTTTAATATAAAGTTGAGAGTGCCCTTAAAGAGGAGACGAGGAATTAACCACCTAACACCGATTGTTAGGTACACTGAAGGCATAGGGTGTCAGCTGTTAGGTGTCCACGTGGATATGATGTATGGCTAGTGGGCAGCTTTTCTCGTTGGGACTTAAAACTTACTTGGTACACATGGATTTGATGTATGTCATGGAGGATGGATAATTGGAAAGATATAAATGGAAAGAGGAGAAAAACAAAATATATGGAAGAATATGTTTTTGGTAAAAAAGATTAATTTTGATTTTTTTTTCATCTATTATTTGCTTGAAATTTTACATTATTATAACATTATAATTAAGGGCGGAATTAGAGTATTTTTAAGGAGGGTTAAAAAAAAAAGCATTTAAGAGTTATGTATATTCACTTTTGCAAGCTAAAAAATAAATACCACACCATAAACTCTTATATAAATAAATTATTAAATGTCTAAATCAATAAATTTGTAACTGGCATGTTCTATTGAGAGTAAAATATACTAATATAGATAATAACATTCAAAATGAAAGGGCAAATTACATTCCAGCGATTGCAATGGATTAGCAGTGATGGTTCTTTGTATTCTAGTATGGAAACAAACAAGAATACAAGCCAGCATGATTAACAAGAAAACTAAAAGATACAAGTAAAAGACTTATTAATACCAAAAATTATTAATATCGAAGAATACATTTGATGTTTCTCGAATTGTTTTATCTGGAATGTTAACAAAAGGTTATTGTACAAAGTATTGATAGTCAATTTCAATAATTCATTGTTGCTCGACAAACAATATTTAGGCCAATACCACATCAGCATCAAGCCAAGTATTGTCTAAACAAATAAATTTTTTTATATTAATAGTTAAAATGAGTTATGGTAATTTTTTAAATAATAAATATATTTTAAAAGATTTTAAAAAAGAAAAAGACTTAATAAAAAAAATGGAAGAAAACCCAAGTGGAGCGACAAATAGTTTTAGCATTGAATCGTTTGGAGAGATTAGCAGTAAAAGAAAACCTTCACTGGAAAACAAAGAATTAGGGGCCATTTTGTGTGTTATGCAAAAATAGGTAGCTTCCTAAGAAGCTTTCTTCTAAAGGATTCTATATGCTGTTGGCATATGGGCTATTTCAATTGCTTTATAATAGGTTTAAATTTATACAAACTTAAATGATTTGTATTAATAAACGTATTTTTAATTTTTTAAATTTAATAAGCTTAATATATTAGATTATAATTTATATATTAGGCTTAATTAGTAAATATAAGTTTCACGATATTTTGAGAGTTAAGTTAAAAAAATTAAAAAAAATTAATTGTATGTATTAAAATTAAAATATTTGGCGGTCATGCCCCTTTTATAACCAAGAGAAGCCACCCTTAATTATAATTTTTCTAGGAAAAAAAATTTGAAATTTAGGTGTGTTGAAAATGAAAGGACACCAAAAATAAAATTACATTAGTTTCCATCCACGTTTAATACATGCTTGAATTATTATTTTTTAAAGCATTAATTTATTGTTGATTTAGGTAGGTGCTCTGTCACAATCGTCATTATCCTGTTAGTTATCTAATTTACTATTATAAAAAAACAAAAAAATGCTAACTCAGCAATGCGTGGTATAAAGTTGTGTTTTCTAATAAAATATTTAAAAATAAATTTCAAATTTATTATTTTGTTCAAGGTGGTAGATTAAATTTAACATCATTTTACTTAAAGCAACTTAATCATCTTACTTTTTAATGTGATTATAAATAGCTAAACGTAATAAAATGTTGTTAAATATTCCTTTAATTCTTCAAAAAAAAAAAATTCCTCGTTAACTTTTGATATTTTAAAAATTACACTTAATAAAAACTAGACACGAAATTTAATCAGATTTATTTTATTATTTATCATCAATAAAAAAAATATGCAAATCGAGTCGAATATCAGGCCTTAAAAACATAAGCCCAAAATCCAGTACGAGTTAGGGCCGACTTTTGGGCTTGGGCAGTGGCCTACTTCGATACCTCTAATTTGGACTCTTTAAACTCAATCTAATATCTCCATTAATTAACACCATTTTTTTAAATGTAATTAACTTTAATACTTGAAAGTTCAAGTACAAGGATAAAATATTTAGGCATGACATTCAAAAAAGCTCTTAAAATATTTTAAATTTTTTTATTCGTTTATTGCATTTAATTATGTCTTTATAGTTTTATTTTAAATCAAATAAATTTTTATGATTAATAATTAATTAATTATTAGTAATTCAAATATAGTGATAAGTAATATTTTATATCCACATGGTATTAACATAATGTTAATATAAAATATGAAAAATGTCATATAATTATGTTATTATATCATATTAACATGTTATGTTATTATTAATTATAATATGTCAACATATCACATTATCATCAATTATGACGTGTTAACATTTTATATTAGCTTTACATGACATAAAATAATAAATTATATTTTAATTAAGTTAATCATTAATTATAAAAACTTATTTGACTTAAAATAAATATACAAAAACTCATTTGACTCAAAATAAAATGTAAAATTTTTTGATTCAAAATAAAAATATAAGATTTTGATTTAACATAATAAAAACAGAAGAGTTTATACGAATTTTTTTGAGTAGTTTAGAGTCTTTTTTAGATATTATGTAAAATATTTATTATGTGACGTGAACTTTATTTACAAGGATAACAAATGTATCATAGAGACTAATGAACAAGAGTAACACTTGTCCTGATATCATATTAAATTTTAGACGACATCTAATTTAAAATTAATTAATTATGTTAAATTTTAAATGATACCCAATTTAAAGTCAATTGTCGACTGTCTATGACTAGAGGGGCTCAACTTAAATATAAAATTACAAATAACTCAAAATTTCACTAAAGAGAAATGATACTACCCAATATTTCTCATTATATATCAACTCATTATTAAGAATAATAACAACCGAACAAATTCATAAGAGGGAACATATAATAACAACATAACAAACTCTTAAGACTCTAATATATTAAATACTTAAAATCAATTTACTATAAATGAAAAGATTCAACTTCAAATATAAAACCCCAAGTGATTCAAAACTTGACCTAAAGAGATAACTCTACTTAACAATTACGACTTATACCTGAGTTAACATATACATTTTTATAATTTAAAAAATATATTTTTTAAAATTACTTAATTTTTCAATCTTTATTTTTTAATTTTTTTAATAAAAATCTATCTATTATAAATGAAAAGAATTTTCATAAAAATTTTTTTGTTTGTTTTGATTTTTGTGGTATAATATTTAAAAAACCTCATCAACTATTTAAAAAAATTAATATATTTTTGTTTTATTTAATTAAATCTTTATATTTTTATTTTAAATATATTAACTTATTATAATTAAGAATTGATTAACTTTTATTATTTAAAATATTATTTATTATTTTAACATGACATGTTGACATATCATAGGAGAAGAAGATGACTGTCAATATCATGATATTTTATACAATGATAGTTAGGCAATTAATAATAAAAGTATAAAATTTTTAAAATAAAGATTTTATTTAAATTTTGTAAATTATTTAGAAAATTTAAAAATATTATGATTCCTGTTTTTATTTGGAGAAGGGAGAGCGGATTGAGGCGGGCATAAGAGGACGGAACAGCCTTTTTAATCTTTGCCGCTGGTCACCTGGGAAAAAAAGAAGAAGAAGAAGAAGGCAACGTTAATTTATCAGTTATTTTTCTCAACATCGAAACTGCTCAACCTCTTGGAGCTCCCTCAATTGAAGAGCTCAGGTACTTTTCCCTTTCAGTTTTCTCGGTCTCTGACCCTCTATCGTTTCCAAGTTTTTCTGTAATATTTGTATATGCTTTTTTCCTTCTTCAGAAAAGAATATGTTCTTCACTGCTTTAAAGATTAAAATCGGAATTGAATAGTAGTACTAGTAGTAGTACGTTTTCCTTTTCTTCATGGACTATGGCAATGTCAGGAGCCCTTCAAATATTGGGGTTTTCTGAGATGCCCACTGCCGGCGCTTCTAAGTTCGCCAATCTTGTTGTTGATTGTAGTTATGCCCTTGTAGTTGCTTTTGGCTCATCTGCATAAACTCGTTTAGACCCACCCTTAGAACTAATGCCATTCTATACATGCTCAGCTTTGTGTAAAACGTGATCCTATTTTGAAATTTGGGATTTTCTTTGTTTTATTGTATAACTATACAGTGATAATCCTCAACTTTTAGTTTAGTGATAACTTCCTAGAAAGTGTTATGGTCTGCTTGTACTACATTCATTACTTGCAACTAATAATGGGCAATCGCATGCCTGACTTGCATCAAATCGCTTGCAATTCAAGCCAACGGTTTCTAACTTAAAACTGCATCTCTGGCCATCTTTAATTCTGGTATTATAAATAGCTTTTTCCTTTTTCTTCTATTTAAAAGTTATTTCTATTGCTTTATGAATGTTAATACTGCAAGTTTCTTAGTTTCATTCCTTCGCCTCTGTTTGCTGAGTTAACAGAGGAAGAACTTAAGAAGGTTACAAGGGAAGCGATGATCAAAATAGTGGGATCTTTTCTTTTTTTTTTTGTTTATTCTCATTTTATAGTGGTACTAGGAAGTAGTTTATTATGAGAGAATACGGCCATGCCAAGTGTCTGTACAATGTCCAAGATAAGTTGGAATCATATGTAATCTTAACTGTTTCTTTGTTAGTACTCACAATTTGCAGATTGATAGTAGTACTAAAAAGTACAGAATTATTACTTTTTCATGTATAATTATTATAAAGAGCTTAAAAATCTAGTTTGAATATAATTATCTGCTTATGATATGTATGTCGAATGGGGTTGAATCACTTTTAATCTCGGTTCTTACAGAATTGGTGTCGATTACATATTTTCTTTATTGTTAAGGTTAGGAGTTAGGAGTTGGTGATGACCATTTCATGTCTTGATGGATGATATTATGCATTTATCTTCCCATGAATAAAATTCTTTTTTTCCTTTAAAAAGAAATAGTTTGATATTTGCGATAAGGTTTTGAACTTGCTTGAGACAGACTTGAGTCGTAAATAGTTTTTTATTTGCTGTAAAAGTTTTTAAAGTTAGACCATTGTCAGACTAATACGATAATGATGGGAAACCGATGGTCCTAAAATAGTCTTTTGTAAAGGGCATGAAATACAATTTTACGGCCACCCTGATAATGCCATGTAAAGATTCAGTATTATCATTATTTCGTAACTATGTGCATGTAAAGGGCAGGAAATACGATTTTACTGCCACCCTGATAATGCCATGTAAAGATCCAGTATTATATTTATTTCATAACTCTGTGCATTCTAAACGTTCAATTTGTTCTGATAAAACAGAAGCAAAAGGGAATTGGGGAAGAAGAAAGCATAGAAAATAGACCATTAAAACAAGAAAAAAGAAAGAGAGAATAAATGGCACAACAAGCAGTGCAGAAGAACACATTGTATGTTGGAGGACTAGCAGAGGAAGTGAATGAAGCAATTCTCCATGCAGCTTTCATTCCATTTGGAGATATAAAGGATGTGAAGACTCCATTAGATCAGGCCACCCAGAAGCACCGCTCCTTCGGCTTTGTTACCTTCTTGGAAAAAGAGGATGCTTCTGCTGCCATGGACAACATGGATGGGGCTGAGCTCTATGGTCGCGTTCTTACTGTCAACTATGCCCTCCCTGAGCGTATCAAGGGTGGTGAACAGGGCTGGGCTGCTCAACCTAGTATGTCCTTTAATCCCTTAGCTTTTCTTTCTTTTATCTTGATTTAGTTCTCTGTGATTTAAAAGTTATTTGTACTGGGGGTTTATCTTCAGCTTGAAGCTCTGGATTGGTGATATTCCTTTAGATGCCACTGAAAACAATGTTTGCTTTGGATTCTAAATCCAATTAGTTTTATAATTTTATTGGATCTTTCACTTGTGAGGCTAATCCGTCGTTTTGTACACTATGCAGTTTGGGCTGATGCTGACACATGGTTTGAGCGGCAGCAACAAGAAGAAGAAATGCAGCGTATTCAGGCAGAGAACCAAGCTGCTATGCGTGCTGCAGAGGAGTTGCATAGAAAGAAAATGGCTGAGGAACGAGAAGGGGAGAAGGAGGATGATACAGAGATGAAGGATGATCCGATGGCAATGGCTGAAGCAGAAGTTTTGAAGCAGAATAACTAGTTATTTGCTATTAAATTGAGCAACCAATAGTGAAAACACTAATGTTATCTTTTAGGATGACCTCTGTGCACGGCAGGTTTAGATTGATAGTGGTGTTTTCAATGTTTTGTGTTTCAGGGCTCATAACTTGAAAATTCTTCAAACTATTTGTATTATTTAATCTGTGTAAGATGACTCCAGTATGGACTTCGAATTAAAAGGGAAATTTTGTAATGTACAAAAACTGAGCTGTAATTGCTACAATAGAATTTTTGGTTTTCCTTTGTTCTAATGCAGAGCAGAGTAAGGCAGGTTCATTTTTTATTTTACTAGGGACAAATATATGTTTCACATTTTTGAAGATTTGAACAAAACTGCCCTTGAAATTATGGTCTCACCTAAGAGAAAAGAAAAGAAATAAAGTGGTATTTAAGTCTCCCAGCCTTCAAAAGTTTGGTTTTTTTATTTACAAAAAGTGATTAATACTTAATTGATATTTAATACAGTATTTTCTTCAAATTCAGAAAAACACAATGCCTTATTTATAAATGTTTTACCTTTAATATCACCTTAACCGATGTCTGAATAACATTTCACTTATCCATATATAATCATTAAAATTTGAAAGTTCGAGTTTTTTTTTCTCTTTTTTTTTCAAAGATAAAACCAGTAAAGAAAGGTCATCTGATAGGAAAAATCAATATTACTAATATTACAATTATAAAAGTACTACATTCAATTAAATTTCCATACTTTACCCTGCTATGTATTAAATAATGATTCCAAGGTAAACTTTGCTACATATTTGACAGCAAAAAGACAAGAGAAAGATTCTCCGGAAAGATATTCTTTTTGTTTTTTGAAGTACTCAGAAACACAACCTGATAACAGTTTCCATTTACTCCAACAACAGTCTACAGCTTCAAAACAACAGCAAATACAGATTAAAAGTTCTCAAGAATATAAGCAAATGAAACATCAAGAAAATCCCCTAACTGCTCAACAGAACAAGCCATCATTTCTATCAAAAACTTCAATATAAAGTCAGTTGAACCGGTTGCCTGCTATCTTCAATCAGGAAGAATTTGCTCACCATCTGCATCTCCTTCTGTCTCAATCTTCGGTTTTTGAGCTTGGCTGGCTCCAGGAGCCTGCTTCTTCTTTATCCCACTTACAATGTCGTCAATTCTTAGGAGCATGCAAGCAGCTTCTATGGCTGTCTTAAAAGTTTGAGCCTTCACATTGTATGCATCCCAAATCTGAAGCACATATTCAACGTTAAGTTACTAAGGCATCAGAACACTTCAATTAATCATTATGCTGAAATCATGATTACATAGTGAAGCATTTACATTTTTTTTATAACTGAACTATGTATCCATGTAAGTAAACAGAAAGGAACATAAGAATGAATCAGATATCCAAATTAAATAGATGCTTCCATCATCTTTCACCCACATGCCACAGAGACATCAGAATAAATTTGTACTAAAAAATTGGAAAGATCAAATTCTCTATCCTTTTTCCTCTAACTAATCAAAAAGAAAAGAGAATGGATTACATTTATGATCCTCAAACGTCGACCAGAGTTTCAACTTCACACCTAAACTTTCAATCATTGCAATTTTCATCTAGAACCTTATTAAAAGTGTGATATTTATGTCTTGCCATCAAAGGCGTGATGATGAGGGTGGAACTGCAGATCAGTGCTGAATAGGATGACTTGCAGGTGTCATTGAAATCTAAAACAATTTTTTTTTTTTTGCTCTCATTATTTTTCATTCTCTCTCCTCTCTATTTTTAAATATTAAAAAGAGAAAACCCCTTTCCAAAACCCTCTCTTTTGCCTCACAAGAAACCAACCTTCCTTTATATACAAAACCATAGCCATAGCAGCTGCAGATACAAAAAATTCTCTTGAATCCCAAACCAGAATGTACCACCATGCATTTGCTTTCTCAAAGTTTGCAGTAGAGTAACCTTTTTTCTCATTTCCTTTCTCCCTGTGCAATCCCACACTCATATGCTAACCCATAAACAATGCAAAACTTACCAAAAGTAATCTTGCCCTAAAATCCACACGTGTAAGAATTCAATTGTTCATGTTAGCTACAGCACTGTCATTCCCACCTGATCTAACACCTCCCACTTGAGCACACAATCTATTATATTTTGCTAGGCTTTCACAACGGTAAAACTGGAAAGTGCCCAAAAAGAACAATAATCTATTTTTACAGCCATTGTCCTGAGATTTCCTTACAAGAATCAAGAAAAGGTTGTAACATTTTTCACCTAAAAATTCCTTGCACCATCAAAAAGGTAAATTGCAACTCCTCAGTGAACCCTTGTGGGCATTGAACAGATCTTGACTCAATCCTCACCTTAAAGCTCACCTGAATTCTAACACTATCACAGTCTCCCAACTCATATTTCAGCCTTAATCCCTTACGATTAACTTGGTTCTTGTCACATGCCAGAAGGTCTTGGCAAGAAGTGAGGATTTTGCAGGGACTTGGAATTTTTGGGAAAAATAGATAAAAATTTAGAATGATAGGCCACAATAACTGGTTTTCTTAAAAAAACCATTTTTAATTTAAAAAACACCATTTTGTCCTCTGAAATGGGTGGTAGCTGTCTTACATGGCTCCGAAGTGGACAATCTCATCCAACTTACCAACATCTTGAAAACTTCAACAATGGGAAGTTCAGGTAGAGAAGTGAAATTCTGGTGAAAGTTTGAGAACCAGCAGTATACTCTACTTAAGGAAAAAGTACAAATGTCATCATACCTTTCGCTCTTTCATGTCAGCAATGGCACCAGTATTCCCATCTATGCCAGTCCATGCATTTTCACCATTTGCATGCTATAATCATAATTTTAAAAAACAGAAACAAATGGGGTAAGTGTTTCTTCAAAAGCATATAAGTGCACTAGAGAAACATTCCTACCTTTCCTTGCAGAGCAGTCATGGTTCGAATCACATTAACCCCACAATTCTGTGCCAAAGTACGTGGTATGGCTTCAAAAGCAATAGCAGCAGCTTCATAAGGCCACTGTTACAGAACCAGTGAATATAAACACACTAATAAATAAAAACTCAAGAAATTACACAAAACTAAATCTCTTAAAAGGTTGGTAAGTATATATTCAAAATCAAGAAAAAGTTAGCAATCAAAATCATATAGCTCTAGGCTGATCAAGCGATGCATGAAAGCATCAAGCACCTTTTCTATGCCTTCAACAGATGAACTCTTCTGCTTCAAAGTGGCAGAAACAGTTAATTCTGTAGCACCACCACCGGGTACAAGTTTTGGATTCTTGATTATGTTTCTTGCAACAGACATGGCATCCTGTAATTGAAACAAGCTTCAGAACTTCAATCCAAAAAAAAAAAGAAAAAGGAAACAAGTTTCAGAACACAATTCCATTATGAGATGGAAGTAGCACATCAAATTACTTACCTGCAAATTTCTTTCCACCTCATTCAGAAGATCCTTGCTAGCACCCCTTAGGAGAACTGTACAAGCTTTTGGATCTTTGCAATCAACAATGAATGCAAAGAACTCATCCCCAATTTTTTTAACCTCAAAAAGCCCAGCTCCTGTACCCACATCAGATTCCTGCAGTTCATCAGGACGATTCACAATGACAGCTCCACATGCCTTTGCAATTCTATTGTTGTCTGTCTTTCTCAACCTCCTAATTGCACTGACACCAGCCTTACTAAGATAATGGCATGCCAAATCACTAAGTCCTTTTTCTGTAATAACCAAGTTGGGTTTGAATTTCAGAATCTGCATGCAAAGATTTTCTATGTATTCTTCTTCCATTTTCAACAGGACTTCCCAATCTTCTTCTCTAACCAACTCAGCGTTTGTTTGGTTCTCCCCTTTCTTATACTCAAGGGGGCAATCAAGAAGAATAATACGTGGGTTGACTATCTTTCTTTTCATTTTTCCAGGTGCGACTACATCTTTATTGATCATCACTCCCTTAAGGACCTTAGAATCTTCCAACTGGCCACCAGGTACTTTCTCTACTTTAATGTACTTTTTTATATCAACTTCCCGCAGCCCTTGGCCGATGTCAACTCCAACTGTTGTTGTTGCATCAATTGCCAAATCCTGGAAGTTAGACAATTGAGCAGGCATATAAACTAACTACATAAATATGAGGCAAATTTTAGAACTTCTAGTGATTATGAAAGGAACGAAAAACTTCTATGCACAATAAATACATGACTACTAAAAGACAATTCTGAGCTACACTGCAGCAAAACTGAAGAAAAGACAAAATGAGTTGAGAAGCAACATTAATTTTCATTTATACAGATGTGATGTGACAAAAAATCATTGAACAAACTACCCTACACCCCTCTGTCTTAGTAGGGATATCATTTCAGGAATATGGCACTCTGCTAAATTAGCTTCATAATCAGACAGTCTCAATAACTAATGCAAATTATCAAATCATCTGAAATCTAATAGTAGGCATATGAACCTACTTTTCAAAAAAAAATAGTAGGCATATGAACCAAAGCAAAAAGGGAACAGGGGAAAAATGGAAGAAAGGAGAAGTATATACAAGGGAAATGTAAGTAAAGGGGTAAACCTATTTTCTGTCGAAGAGGCAACGGAAGTGTCAAATTATCTGTATAAATGACAGGCATGCAAGGGCAATAAAAGAAAAAAGATAAAAATAATAATAGAAAAGAATTCACCTAAAGAAACATTTTTTGGCCAGTTCAATCAAAATCCTAAACATGTGCATCATATCATTCAGCTAGAATAAAAATGGTATCATGATTTTTTTCTAATATTATTATTAATTACCTAAAACCACTTAACGAAAGCAGTTGCTATATTTCTGATTTCAAATGTTTCATGACCATTCTGCAACAAACATAAATATTTCAATTGCTTTTGTTTCTCATGAAATATCTTATATCAATTATTTGGCTTCCAGGATTTTATCTAGTCATATTCGAATATAAGCAATACTGATAAATAATCAGATACCAAATGGTCAGATGACTGTTCTAACCATAGCTCAATTGTAAAAAGAAAATCAATTAAGACATTTCATATGCCAATATGTGAGTCTATGTGCCAGATTCTATAATCAAAATAAGCAACATGTCCCGTAGAAAGGAAGACACTCACAGCAATCAGATCCCCAAATTGGCTAGTGAACTTTGTCCCTATACAGCTCTTCACAAGTCCCAACATTGTTGAACCTGCCAGTCAAATCCACATGTTACAAGACAAGCATGCCAAAGATATCAAAGAATA